CTGCCAAAAATAGCTTTTCAATAAGTACCTAGGTGGTAGAAATATCGTATGTTTATAGTATAGCCTTCGTGGTACAGAAAAAAGTATTCTGGTAGATAGAGCTAATTTTTTGTATAAAATAATTATGAATTTCACATAAGTGGAATTCTTACAAAATATAACCTTATCGTATTTACTTGGAAAATGCTTTATTATTAAAATAACAAATTACTAATTTACAGTACGATATTAATAAAAATTGCTGAATACTTTTATTATTTTAATCTCAAAATATCAAAAAAATTAAATATTCTTAATGGGTTAAAGATATTAAACTAACTTGAAGAACATTGTGAAATTATTTTTTATGTATACAAGATATTTATATATTATTTTATAAGCTGAATGCGGATTTCTGTTACAAAGTTGCAAAAAAGAAAGAAACATTTAAATGTGGTCCGAAAATTATATAATAATATATACTTTTCAAAATAATAAAGCAATAATAGTAAGAAGACATATATTATCTGGCAAGAGTATTCAATTGCAGTTTTCTGTGTCAACTTCAAATGAATTAGTTTATTATTTCCTTGTAAATAAAAAAAAAAAATCAATACTCTGTGGAAATAACAGAATTAACGGTTTCATTTAGTTAAAAAGGCATAGCGCCTTACCCTTTTAAAATCACTTCGGAAACGAAGCTGAGTCATCTCAACTTTTTAATATTACTTGACCATCAGTTGCATTATTTCCGGCATCGACGCTCTCACTCTTGACAGTAATGTAATAATGGAGTATTACTGCATACAAATATGATAGTATATAGGTATGTAATATAGGTATTCTATATTGGATATTATTGCACTTATCTATGTGCTTATTACCTTCAAGCAAAACTAATGTTGGTATTTCAACATTGAACGTGAAGTAATAAATCTATTCGTAAAGGAATAAAAATTATAACACTTGCCATTGTGATGCAAACTATTCTGTAATTGCCTTTTTAATGCAATGGTTACCTCCAGAAATCTACATATGCTTAACATAATTAGTGCTTTACTAATCAACACTGCCTTGTGGTCCCGGCATAGAATAGGCTACTCCTTCCTTTCCCGTGGGTATTGTAAGAGGCGACTAAGGGAGGGCGAAGAATGGGCAGCAACGTCCCTCTTAAAACATCTTCTAAATCTCACTGCGACTACCAATCCGCCTGCCAAACGTGGTAACTACTAGCAAAACTCCCCAAGAGGGAGTCTCATGTTCAACGGTGGACAGTTTAAGGCTGATACATATTATCTACGCATTCCATAAAATGAAAATGAAGGGTATAATTTTGCGGTACACAAGTAAGATTTTCAACATTATATATATTATATATATATATATATATATATATATATATATATATATATATATATATATATATATATATATATATATATATATATATATATATATATATATATATATATATATATATATATTACTCCTAAATTCATAGTAACTGTAATATACAGATCACATATCGAATCAGCCGTCGTTTTATGCATATTACTCCTTATAATATAGTAGGTATGTAGACACAATACACTTAATTCAAATTTATTTATTATAAGTTAACAAAATATATAAAAAAATTATTAAATAGCTATCTAGGTACTGAGAGAAAATATTAAACGGTTAAGATGTTGGTATGTTGAAAAAAATTATATGCGGCCAAAGCTTTGGTCTTATCAAATTGAAAAAAATACTTATCAAATTAAGATCAGAATTTATGAAAATATCAAGTCACATACCTTGAGTACAGAAAATATAATTTCTAATACCGTTTAAGAATACATATTTTATTACTGACAATATTATCTATTTGAAATAAGTAGGTATTATTATCTCCGAAAACCGCTGTCATTAATCCAAAAGATTAGATTAAATATATTATACATAACATAATTGACAATGGGCGTCTGTACACTCTTTTGAGAAAAAAATGTTTGAATGAATAAATTTTCTTCATTAATTAAATAATTACAGATATGCAGGTCTTTATAAATGCTACGTTATTTGACAAAAATTATTAAGCACTTATATCCATGGGCATTAACTCTGACTAAAATTTAATTCAAAATTTCTGTTTACAATTTTATATTGAAAAAATTAGAAGAGTTGACAAAAGCAACTTTACAGAATAATATTTTTAATAAAGTCAAATGCAAGCGACTATTAATAATATTTTATAATATTTATATTTATTATAATAATATTTTATATTTATTTACTCTAAATACCTATCTACCTATAATAATGGTCTAAGAAATTTATCTAAAACAATAAATAATCAATTATCTTTGATATAAAACATACGTATATGTGTAGCAGTAAAATTAATAGAGTTAAGTGCAAAGCATACGCAATTAAACATATAAATATTCAATCATATAATATTTATCTTAATCTAAAGACAATATATATTTGATAAAAATTGTCATAATAGGTTTTAGGGTTATATAAAGTTTGTATTTTCAAACTGACTTTTGAGGCGATAGAATATTTTATGTATTTAATGTATTTTCGTGTATTTTATGTATTTGTATGATTTCAATTTCATTCCAGTTCTCAAAACGCAGTTAGTAGATTCAGAAAATGAAAATATTATTATTAATTATATCTCGAAATCGATTCGATTATCGATTACATTAATATATATCTATTATCTACGATAAAACTAATGTACATATATTTATATGTGACTATGCTATTAGTGGCTGCCTTGTATTGAATTTAAATTCCAAGCTAATTCATCATGGTCATCATCATCATTATTTCAGCCATTATCCGGCCTCTACTGGACAGGCCTCCCCCATAGACTGCTATAAGGAACGTTCTTGAGCCACCTGCATCCACGACCTTAAGTGCATTGCATTATTATACTATATATATTTATTATACTACATATATTTATATAACTCCATTATATAAATATATATTTATTTTTGGTACTACTATATCCTCAGGTACTACAGCAATACCATACTATTATACCTATGTGCTTACTCAGGTATATGATCAAAGGGATGTAGGCAAAAAATCCGCGCAAATTTATGTCGTCAAGGTGATTACCACCTTAAGCATTGAAGATAGCATCGTGAGGAAGATAATTTATATGATATATATATAAATATACTAGTATATACTATATTTTATATAAATAAATAAATAGTTTTAACTGTTTAGCTATTCGAGAACTAGATCATCTACTTTCCCAGCGAAAATTTCTGAAGTTCCGAATATCCTTAATCTGATTGAATAAATATTTATTTACCTGTTATTAATATAACAGAAGCTGCTATTTTAACTATATATTTTATTAACACTAGTTCAAACCTATTATACTGAATTAGTAACCAATATATGGAAAGTATAAGCAGAAATCAAGTCAATGCACAACTGAAACTGTTGGGTAGATAAAAAAAAGAGAATTTTGCAGAGTTTCTTAACTAAGTTCCTATAATGTAAGAGAGCATTAAAGAATTATTAAAATTCTCATAGAAATGAGAGTTTCGCATTCCGCTCATGCGAATGCCGACTCTTGATTCCGTGAAATACAAATTGATAGATACATCTCAACTTTTATTATTACAAATTTAAAGCAATCTCTGTAATTTCTTTTATTTCAATGTAATGCATGGTCAAACATACTTGCAATGTAAGTACCTATTTACACATGTGTAATATTGATTTATAGCAACCATAAAACACTGTAGATAATATAGTTATCGCGTGATGCAGGGGAATTGATATTCACTTCACTACTGTTACGCTTAATAGGCATTTTGTTACTGTTGGGTGTTGTATTAAATCAATTTTAATGAAAACATTAGCAACTAGTAAAGGGTGCAGAATAGAAAATTCCTCAAATCTAAGATCTAGTAAACAAATATAAGTAGCTGTCTACTTTAAAAGCAAAGCTCATTTACTATTTATTATACGAGTACGTCACACATAATAAATCTAAGAATAAAACTTCACAATAAAAAAAGTCACATCTAAAATATAATATATATATTTATTACATGTTATTTTTTACATAACAGTAATGGCAAATAAGCATACGGTCTGCCTAATGATGAGCTGGAAATATCAAATAAGGATTTAAGAAACCATAATTTCTGTACGTGTAATGTGAGTACAATAACGTTTATTTATAAATAAATCAAAGATTGATAACTGACAAAGGAGTAGATATAAAGACTTTGTATAAAAGTCGATTGCTTGGGTACCTCTGTCCTATTCGTGTTTCTACCGTGAAGCAGTTGTGTTTCGGTTTGAAGGGTGGGATATGGCGTGAATTTACAGGGTACAGAGGAATAACATTTGAGTCTCAGGAATGGCAACGCATGGGGAGATACAGAGATATCATGGGCGAAACAGTCTACTCTGTTATGTCCATGGTACTGCTCTTGTCTATAGGCGACGGTTACCACTTTTCATCAGGTGGGCCGTATATATATATATATATATAAAATTGCTGTAAATTTGTTATATTTTATTTAATTTTAAATTATAGAAGTAATAAATTGCACACATTAAAATAATAAAAACGAAGGTCTCATTATGTAAACTAAAAATTAAATGCCAAGGACAAAAATATTCATTAATACCTAATTTATATCAAGAATTCTTTTCACTTAAATACCATGTATTTTTAACAAATTGAAATATATAGTAGTAAATATATAACTGATTATTACTAAAGTATCTATCTTCTATTTAAGTTTGCTATTGTAAAGCTATTTTATTGATTTTGTTTAATTAAATACACAGTCAACCCCCAAACTCAGGAGAAAATTTAAGACACTCTTCTAATAAGTTTAACTGTCTAACAAAAGAACAATTTAAAAGTGACTATAAAAAAACAACCTATTGACGAGTATAATTGAACCAATAATTTGCCTTTCACTTAGCATTCGAATTTGACACGTACACAAAATTTCGAATATAGTATATAGATCAAGTAAACTCACCTTGCAGGGGTTCTAAGATCAAACAAGCCCAATATTACACAAGTTTTAATTCACAGTGTTATCATAGTTGAAACGGATTATGAATGTAGAACGAAAGTGACAGTTTCCGTGTCCGCGGCCAGCGAATTTAATTCGAGTAAAAGTGCCAGCGGTAAGAAGCGCGGGGCGCATGCACTCGCGACGACTACTCGCTTTGGAGTGGAAGCCTAGAGGCTGCCTTAACCGACTGACATACGAGTTAGTGCTGCCACACAGCCTCAGGTTCATTTATTATCACTCTTGTTTTCTATAATATAAAGAAGAACAATAAAAGTCGGTAAGTAATATCGCTATGAAGTTTTATTTGTTTAATTTCTTATTGTATTCTGCTATCTAGTCCCAAACTTCGCTTTCCTTTGAAAGATGGATTTCGCTGTTTTTCGAGGCTTTAGAATTTTGTCCCAAATATATATAAGAGCAGAAAAATGCCAAAAAAAGATTAATAGACTATTTATTTCGTATGATCGGAAAGAGAGTGAATACTAAGATAACTAGAGAAATAAATAATTAAGAAAAAGAGAAAATGCAACAGGATGATAATAATAACTTGAAATATGCTTCCTTATAATTATATAATGCGGGGGGAAAGGGATTGTTAGGAATGGAGTCAAATAGCCTCATTACTAGCAATATACCCTGTCAGGTCGAACTCCACGTGATTTCCCCTGGAAACCATTGTGGCTGATTCTGGTTGAATTCGCCAGGATGGGCTAACTGACCTGATTTCATTCTCATCAATCATCTATTACTGGTGCCCCGCTAGTGTGTACAGATAGCGCAGACGGGTTACCATACCATTATCACCCATTAAAAAAAAAACTACATAATTGTAACTAGAATAAAATTAAGAGTAGCAATGCCATAGATGGCGCAATATATACTAGGTATGTGATTATGATGTGTATAGTTCGTCTCCATGAACGACTTTTATTAAAAAAAACAAAATGTTTTACTTGGGTAGGACTTATTTTTTTTAATTTTTAGTTTATTTTATGATTTCTTGTATCTTCAATTAATCAAAGTTACTCAATTATTGACAATTATTTTGTATTAGTCAGTATGGAACTCACGAGCTCCGTTTAGTGGGTCAGGCAGAGCCGTGAAACGACAGGTTATAACACTCACCACTGTAATTATAGCACCTTACTGCTTGCAGCTAAATTCTTACTTTATAAACATTTTTATTTTTTCATCTCGTTGACTATTTAGCCACCATTTTATCTTTCATTACTTTTTTATATTTCTGTATATAAAATGTATTTTTACTTATAAGGAGACAATAGCGTAATTTACTATATAATAAATATTGCAACTGATCTCTTTTTCTATAGTGTAACTTGTCTCTATATAGTTTATCAGGCGTTGACGTAGTTTTATAACACATTTTTGTTTTTATAAAAATACCCGATACTATCTTTAATTCTTTTTTTTTTTTTACTGAACCCAGGCAAGGGCGTAAAATTTAATTATTTTCACATTCTATATTTTGTTTTCATCCCAAACCATAGACGTAGTATAACATACTCGCGTACTACTCGTGTATAATTTAAAGTTCAGGCACACATATATAATACCAATTACCAATTTGACAATATACCGATTTATTTCGATGTTAGCATTTTTTATATTACCTGCAACATTTTTAATTGTAAACATATCATTTCTTGCTGTATCAATACTTTATACAATTGTGAAGCAACTTACCTAAGCATTACATAATATATATTGCAAAATTATTTAAAAAACATGTTTGCAACCGACATATCGAAACTAGATGATCTGTTTTTTTTTTAATGAGTGATAATGGAACGGTAATCTCGCCTGCGCTATCGGTATACGCTGGCGGGGCACCAGTGAAGGATGATAGGTGACAATGAAAGCAGGTCAGTTAGCCCATCGTGACAAATTCCACTAGATATAACCATGATGGTATCCAGGGGGAAGCGCGTGGAGGTCGACCTGACAGTGACGGTGTATTGTTAGCAATAGGTCAGTTAGACCCCTTTACCAACAATCCCTTTCCCCCCACTAGATGATCTGTTAATGTTATGGTTAACAAATTATAAATAAATATGCTCATGCCTATAGTTCATAACGAGATAGTTAAAGGTACTCGACATACAACGTGATATAAGGCGATTTTGTCACAATCATTATCACATTACACAATTATTATCAATGAAAAAAGATTAACAAAAAGGGAGCTTAACCTTAAAATGTTTTTCAGTAAACTCGATGCAAGTGATGAAGTAAATTGGTGCTGTGTACAACTATACAGAATCCAAATTTTACTAATTGAAATAAACGTACTTTGATTTTCATGGACTTTTTATTATTGTACTAAAATTAAGTTCAACTAATAGAACAGTTTTTGTTTTTACTTATTAACACTATAAATTTTATTTACGCTGAAAATATAAAGATAATTAAATTAATTAAATTCATACTTAAATCGTCTAATCTATACTTCTACACTACATTATAAAGAGAAAAATGCTGTCTGACTGACTCATCAACGTACAGCCGAAACAAGTAAAGTCAGAATTACCAAATTTAGACAGTAGACTTCTTATATGAATGTGATAATAAATAAGAAAGGATTTTTCAAAATTCAGTCTCTAAGGGTCTAAATACAAAGATGAAAGTGTGTGTGAGAAAGTATATTTTAACTAACCTAACCTATTTTCTTGAAATTAATAAAAATGAATTTCAGTATTTCTCTAAATTCATCTCCTAACTGTATATGTAAAAATACTTTTTTACATTAACATTACGAAATTTGTTTTACTCTTTTAATAATGTATATATATTAGAAAACAAAGATTTCATAAAAATTCAAGGTGTAAGTTAAAGGATAAAAATTAACGTGGAAGTTACGACAAATATAAAAACACTACAAATAAGAAAAATGTACTTCATACCACGGTGTGAAGTGCTAATTTAAAATATTAATTTATATTTTTATCATTTTGTCTGTGCCAAGCCAGGGCAAGTCGCTAGTATTCTACAATAATTGTATAAAAGTTCATTATCATTTTGAAACAACATATCATAACCTAAGCTACCACAAAATAAAAAGTAATACCTACAAATCATTAAAATATTGTTTAGTTTATAAACTCATACTTTCAGGAAGCAATTGCACAGCCCATACCATCAGGAATAAGAATATGGACTGGAACGCTGGATCGCCGTATTGGTAGCCACCCCCAAGTAATCCTTTATAATACCCTTATACGGTTAAAAATTAGGACCACATCTAGAAGCAAGCTAGTGGCAAAAACTTTTCTATAAATCATTTGCCTTTTACCTTCGAAAACAAGCAAAGTTACGTTGATCTAAGAAAAATGTACAACCACAATATAAAAGTGTAATTGTTATATTATCGTTTTAATTTCAGTTATCTTACAAGACATTAATAGTTTTAACTAACTTCAATAAAGGTGGACGTTTTGCAACCAACATCAAAAAGAAGGTTTTGAATTCGACTGTAATTTTGTTTTTATACATATATATATTCTAAGTTATTTGCAATTCATTTAAATGGGCATTATTAATGAATTATCACAATAACTAAGTGATTTACAAATCAGACAACGTTAGACTGAGATCAGGGTGTCTCAAGATCAAATCTCAACTTTCTGAAATTACAAATTCATGTTTAGAATTTGTACCTCTTATACATTTATACCTCTTTATAATTGGTGACCATGAATTTGTATTATTTAATCATTGCTGTCAATATTTGAACTTTAGCAACATGGATTTTAATTATTTTATGTATCAATTAACCTAACTTTATGGACAGTCATTATTATATATGGTTTCTTCCATACATGTGCTTACGAGTATATTACTTGCATACACCCACTCTAACTTGCCTACTTCGCTTTGGAATTATAATTTTTGTTTCTATAAATAAAATCCGTTATAGGCTGTATTCATAAGAAACTTAGCATGTAAGTTATTTTTTAAGAGCTGTGGATTTTGTATAAAATAAAATAAAAAAAAGAACATTTAAAAATTGCCATTTGCTTCGTAATTTAGAAGACACGTAAGATCTACGTTCGGTAGGCCACGTCAAAGACCTTCGTGTACAAAGAAGGTAATTTAGAAAATCAGTCAAAAGTTTCTACACCAGAAGTTGACACCCTCGCAATCTCACTTATATTTTATATTTTAATGCATATTTTTATACAATATCACTCTTATTATACAATGATTTCCTTACGTACCTACCTACATCTTATCGCCTCCGTTTCTAATCTAGCCATACGATTTTATACAGACTGACTATATCTATATGTGGCTACTAATGTAATAAATATTATATTATGTTATAAAATTAAATATGTTTATACTTCCTTGTAAGAGATATCCGAAATTAGCTTGCACGTTCACCATAAAGAAAACGCCATGTGCCGGCATTTTAGAACACGTCCGTTACCATTGCCAAAAACAATTCTTGGCGTTGACATTTCTAGTACGGTTGAGTTCCGAAGTAGTCTGAAGAACAAAACAAGCTGGCGTTTAGCAAGCTCTGAATGCTAAATAAAGCGGTGCAGCAATTCACCCCTGCACAAAGACTGCTATTATAGTCATAAGTCCAACCCCATATGGAGTACTGTTCTCATATGTGGGCAGGAGCTCCTGGAAACTAGCTTAGTCATCTTGATGTGGTCCAGATGCGTGCTATGAGAATTGTCGATAATCACAAGTTAAATAGGCGGTATCAAGCGGGTGCTCGATACCGCTAATTTAAGGCGAGATTTTGCTTTACTTTGCCTCTTCTACTACCTGTATAACGGATTGTGTTCTGAAAAACTCTTTAATATGATGCCTATAGCTACTTTTTACCATCGTACTGCTAGCCATCACCAGGGAATCCATCCTCACATTTTAGAATTGGAATTGTCACGAACAGTGCGGTTTCAGAGGAGTTTCCTCCGCGAACACTCAGGTTGTGGAATGTTCGCCAATTTCCCTAAAAAAAGCCTTAACAAGAAGATCCCTGCTAATACATTCCCGATTTTACAGACATCCATAGACTACGGTAACCCCGTTTACCATCAAACGGGCTGTATGTTTGTTTGCCATCATATTAGTATAAAAAAACTACATTGCTATAGAAATGTACCTACTAAACATTCGTGTACCACTTTTACTACGCGTCCCTTACAGACTAAAGGCCTTTGTGATTCATTATTCAATGCACACATCTCTTGCTTGATCCGCTTTCATAATCTGCTCTTTCAATCAATGATATTGGTACATATAACCTTGCTAATTAATCCTGTACTTCTAATGCATAAAAACATAAAGATGATTTTTATTTTATTTTGTAATGGATAAACTCAAAAACACTTAACCGATTTTAAAAATTCTTTCACTTTTATAAAATCCTTTTATCAGTGAATAACATAGGTTATATATTATTTTCAAAAAATTAAAGATCCCTACGAATATTACAATATTGTAACCCATAGTATCAAGTATTTACCTATTAAAGCTAATATAAAATACTAATTTATCTATCTGTCTACCCGTGCGAAGTCTGGACGGATCGCTAGTTACTAATTCCCTTTCTCCCTATAATAGTCATTAGGTACAATGCAGCCTAGTTGCCTTATACTATTTAATCATTATTATAAATACTAAAATTAATGCTCCTTCCACTCAAGATTTGCAGTAAGAAATCTCTTACAGAGTTAAGCTTCCCTGTTGTACATCTTTACTTAAAATAAATTATAGTAATGTATTTTTTTGTGTACAATAAATTATAAATAAATTAATAAATATATAAAAACTATATCGACAATGAATTCATTCAAACCAATGTACTAACACACATTAAACTACCTAAGTACCTAAGACACATTAAATGGAGAAAACGTCAATGTTGATAGTCTATAAAACTAACAGTAACAGTTTTCCGACAACCTTCATACATGCTGCAGCTGATAGGAATAACAATCACTATTAAAATGTACAGTTCCTAATTTAACTTTACATATTGATATAATGAAAACAAAACAGGACAATAAACAGTGAAATTAGATGTTTAAAGCACAAATAAGAAGCAATTGATATCTAATTTATCATTAAGAAAATTTTGCACAAAAGTAGACAATATATCAGAAAACGTAATATCTTTTTTTATAAGCGAATTTCAAATGGAGGAGATTCTCAATTGTTCCCTACATTTTGGATACTACACGCTTACATCACCCATTCGAAACCAATTTTATTGTTTATTTTTAATATCAATAGGATTTATTCCCGTGTTAGTCCCAATCATAATAATGTCAAGATTAAACTTATTTTTCAATATGTAAACTCAAATTATTACTTGTGATTAAATCAAATGATCTAAGCACGAAACAGATAATAACATTTCTGTATTGGTGCTTTGATACGTAGATTATTTGTATTTGCAATTGACTTGGAAATGCATGAAGAGTAACAGTTGGAAATGGAATTACGATAATGAATCAGACGAATGCGATACAATGTCACAACGAGACTGTTTCCAGCGTCCAATGAACGAAAAGGTATTGTATTATTACGGGGCCGCAACAAGCCGCGACTCGCTGACTCGTGCAATGCAATCCTCAAGCAGTCATAATGACTAAGAATATATAGACATGCCCAGATAAAAGAATTCTAATAATATTTTAAATCTTAAAGTTTGTAAAGATGTTTGGATGTCTGTTACTCAATCATGCTTAAGCGGCTGAACAGATTTGAATGAAATTTGTTACACGGTTAGGTTATGTTATAACACATAGAATACTTTTTATATACTAATTTATGCGGGCAACGAGGCAAAAATAGCCAATAAATAATAATGAACTGTACATATACCTGCATCCTGCAAGTATATGTAGAGTTAATTAGTTTAGGAGATGCTTGGAAGAGGTGGCTCATCGTAATACTAAATCGTATTTTGGACCATAATTAAAACTGTTACATACACTTTTTTAATTGAGAAATGTTACCTGGAAAAATTGATAAATTTAGATATGCCTTTGTTACAGAAAATCCATATGGTTAGCACCCGTAAACGCTGGAAACATAAGAATCTAGATAATTTAAAAGTCAACAGATCCACGATTATAGTTATAGTTTAGTTAAATTAACACAAAAACACTCCCTAAATGAAATTCTAGGTAATTTCAACAACAAATCAAAACTTTCAATCAATTATTATTTTTTATTATGAAGTATAATTAATATTAATAATTTAATTAATATGAATTATATTATTGGACCACAGAAAACTGGCTTTTAACAGATTACTAATACTAGGAAATTAAATGCTGACCACTGCCAAATAGTATTAACATAAACGTGTTATTATATGTTAGGCATGCCATGCGGATGCTAGTTCGCATTATAGACAAGTAAATACATAAGCACTTATTTGTTATTTACCTACTACGAGTATACCTATTGTTTGTTCTCATATAAATATGTAATAATATATAATGCCATGTAAATATTAAGCCGTGTAAGTCCCAGTATAGAATAGACCACCCTTTCCTTTCCCGTAGGGGTCGTAGGAGGCAAATAATGGAGCTTATAGTCGAGGGATAGGCAGCAATGCCTCCTAAAACATCGCCAAAAGCCAAACTGCGTTGCCAATCCGCCTGCTAAGCTTGGCAACTACTGGCAAAACTGGGGAGTTTAATAAGGGGTTATAGAAAAGACTAGGTCCAGCAGTAAACTGTTAACGGCTAATACTTGTTTGTCATTTTCAATGTTAGAATGTCATTAAATACTTGAAATTATAATATTTATTAGCAACCTAAAGATGTGACTTTTCAGGTTGCACCCACGCAAAGATTCAAATAAGATTGTGTTCTTAAAAAAATACCATCTTTAATTCTATCAAAACTATTTTTATTTAAAAATTAAACTACTGAACCGGTTTAAAAAAAAACTCTATGAGACCAATCTATGAGTGTATCCTTTCAGATAAAACCAGAGTTATGAGGTAACAAGGGAGGTTGAGAACCTCCTTTTTTAACTCAGTTGAAAAATATAGTTTTGTCAAGTCGACTGAACAGATCTTTTTAATTTAAAGAGTTTTCTATTGTATCTGTCTAATAATCAATTAATAAATACATATAATAAAATCGTAACTGGTCGCTGTCTGTACAAAAAAGATATATAAGAAAAACTATTATATGGGGCTTTATGAACGCAATAGATCGCAAAACAATTATTTTTAGAATATTTGTCTGTCTGTAGGTTTATGCACGCTAATCTCAGAAACGACTTAACCGATCAGAATGCGGTTTTCACTAATGTGTTGCAGTTTGCCTCACTTAATATATAGTGTTTATTTTATTTTAATCGGTTCATAAATAAAAAAAATCACATCAATCTAAAGAATCACATATAAAATATATTTAATATGTCCATTAAAGTAGCTTATTTTGTGAAATCTAATATTAAATTATTAAAGTAGGCATGACCCTATTAAATAAAACATTAATAATTTCTACCATTTCAGTTACAATGTGTGATGTTACACATTCTTCAAAAAGAAATTCTCTATAATATAGAGAACTAGCGCGATTTCGTCTACGTGACCGGAATGTGTTAACTGACCGGGATAAAAAGTAGCCATGTCCTTCACCATCCTATATAGTACCTGTATTCAAATATTTATACTTCGTGTTTGGTTAAACCGTTAAGATTACAAGAAGTAACAAACATACAAATTGACTCAACTTCACATTCTTGATTATTAAAAAGTATTCTTACTTTTGTCGGGTGGTCCCAGCATAGAATAGGCCACCCCTTTTTTTTTCCGTGGGTGTCGTAAGAGTCAACTAAGGAAGGGCGATGAATGGGCAGCAGCGTCCCTCTTAAAACACCTCTAAAGCCTAACTGCGGTTGCCAATCCGCCTGCCAAACGTGGCAACTACTGACAAAACCCTCCAAGGGGGAGGGTTTATGTTCAACAGTGGACACTTAAAGGCCGATATAACGGTGATTCTTACTCTTATTTATTTAATGAAGGTGTTTCATTCGTACGTAAATTGTATCACTACAATTTTTAGTTATTGGGCATTGTTGAGTCTCCTCAACAAAATACTGATTAGCAATTCAGAAAACCCGAATGGACAATTTTGCACTATTTAGTGTCAGCGATGGATATTGCTTTTATTACGTATATCGACTAATAATCAAAGCTTACTGATATTAGTGATAATGTAAGGTGTAATAGGTAGATAGGTAGTTTATCTATACAATTAATGTCGTCAATGACATTCATTATTTTAAAATAACATTAGTTAATTACATCTAATAAGGAAGAACATTCAATAATTATATTGATGCCTATTTTCACCGTCATTAGTGGTCATAATTACTGACTCATTACAGTTATCAAATATTAAATTTAAATAAAGAGGCCTCTAATTGTTTTTAAGCCAAACACGAATATCTGCTAGCAGCGAAGTTTCGATAAAAAAAAATAACAACACAGTCACTTAGTTCAGTGTCGCAAAGTAGTTGCCAGTTATGTTTGGGTCTCTACAGTCTTCTGTTGCGTTGCTTTGAATTATATTTTGTTTTCACTTTACCTATCAAATACTATACCATACGCTATGTCTTACGCGTTTCTCATTGTTGTTTCCGTGGCTATTACTGTGAAATTGTTATTTTTAACTTTTTCTATGTATTTCACATTGAAACAGAGACGACGTTCAGCAACTCTGGTGAGTAATTTTAAAAAGTTATTAATATTTCGAATCGTGTTTAAATTTCTTTGGAAAAATAATCTGTAGTTTGACTTAGACTACAATTAATTTCACTATTAGAAATTAATATTTATTATATTTATATATATAACTTATGAGATTAATTAATTTCCAAACAAGCCGACTATGAAAAATGGTCACTGTTAACAGTACACATTAACAGCGCTATGTACATCACAAAATAATACTGTGTTGCTTTTATTTTAATGGTGGCTATGGAATATGTGTTCATGTACAGGAATTTCACCGCCATATTTTATTTATTCTTCAAACCGAAGCCATTGCAACACAGACTTGCCAAAACAATATGCAAGTACGGCTAGGAAACTACCTATTAGTTTTTTTCTAGGATTCTCTTTGTTTAATACTTATCGCAAAAAACCTTTAGTGTTGTACGGCCTTATGCAACCGACAAGTTTTATAATAGACTAACGTCTTACCCCGTTATAGCAGGTTTATGAAAATAAACAGCCTATGTTAATGGCTGATTAAGTATTTAAGATTTTTCTTTAGGAAAAAGAAATCAACTTTCATTTCAAATTCTACCATTTTGAGTGGCATTTACACTCTCAACATCAAATGAAATCGAGACTGAAACAAAATAACAACTGATTTCGAAACCTATTTCACACTATTCCCGAAATTTATCGTCATTTCATCCAACCAACTTTAGTTCTGTGCGTCACGCTATAAACGAGGTTGTTTGCTATGACCATGAATAATAAAAAACGTTCTTACCGAAAGTTAGAACAGACTGGAACTGTTACGTACTTATTTGAAAAAAGTATTCTGCATATCAATTTATAGTTCATTTACTCAGATAAACTGAAAGTAATCTGCATGGGCTCGCCTGTTACTCTTGAACTAGTGTCTATGAATTTGATGGATGATAAAGGAATTGTAACCCCGCCTGCGCTATCGGTATACACTGGCGGGGCAACTTGAACTAGTGTCATTAAGCAGCTCTATATGCATGACTGTGATACGATTTGAAGAAAAAAAATCTTTATGATAGAAAAATCACAAAATACAGGGGAATTACACTGTAGTCCTCAGAAATGTCAACGCATGATGAGACCGAGAGGAGGCACAGTATATTCCCTGTAATGTCGATGGTGTTGTTAAGTTCATATCTATAAGCGAAGGTTATTCCTTTCTAATTGGAATAAAAAAAAAATTAAATAACTCCACAGTATCAAGCAGGTACTAACCTTAAGGACCGATCTATACAAGGTGAAATGAAATTATTAACTTAATTTAAAATTAAGTTAATAATTTCATTAACAGTACTCTATTAGTGAAAATGAGCATTTCTCACAAAAAAACATCAGATGAAAATAAAAAAAAAAATACCTTATCTATTGATACCGAATTTACTAATGGCATGCATTGCTTGTTACAGTCTGATCAACAAACTACAAGACGAAATAGGTCTATGGCGATAAATTGGAAGCACATACCACGGATGCTGTTACCGAAATCATTATATTGCAGCGATGTAAACAATAGTAGTAATTATACCAATAAATTATGATTAATATAAACCTACTTTTTGTATAATTTTTAGTGATAATCTTTTGCACTAAATAGGTAGGCTGTGCAAACCTACCTACATGTCATGTCAAAGTTTAGAGAATTGACATAAACAGCTTTACAGATAATATTTGAAAATTTTATGACACATTTTTTGTAATAATCGATTTCACAATAACAATTCATGACATGTATATGATAAAGTGTAGGATCTATTTTAACAAATACATCAATATAGCTCAGTTGCTACATATAGATTGTTATAAAGAATGATATCCGCGTGGCTAGGCCAGGGTTTAAAATAAGCACTAATTTTAAACACTGATCTAGACTTGCGTCATCTCAAACTGAAGGTAGTATACCTTCAGTTTCAGATGACTTATATCCATATACCATTAATGGAACTGTCATTATGACAGACCCATTAATAGTTTCTATAAATATTATTCAAAAAGTTGAACTCAACAATGTACTTATATAATTTTACAAGACCTAAAAACTACAATAAAAACAATCATTATTTTATATATTACTTGTATATTGTCAGCTTTGTATCTTTACATAATACTTAGCTTTATGATTGTACAAAAACTAATATAATAGGAAATGTTTGTATTTAACTATTATGTAATCTAATATTTACACTATTATATTATGTGCTATTTACATTCTTTCATTTTCATATTTGTCTACAATAACTATTTCTTGAAATTCACATACTTCCCAGTCATCAATGGTTAATCATAATCTTCTACTAATAGAAAAGTCATATCTCTAACAGCTGTCGGCCATTTTACAGTCTTTTTTTGTAAATCAAGTTTTAAATTTTTATTCTTATATTGGAGAGCTTTTTTCACAATCAATCTATTAAATTCATGTACATGTGGATGATTAGTATATTCTGATACATCCATCCATTTGCAATCCTTAACTTCTCTTGGAGAAATAACTATTTTGTCCGAGAGTGCCCTCATCATTAACAGCATATAAATATCAGAGTTGCCAAACATCATATTATGTGTGTGTCTAAATGTAACCAAAGATATAAAAGCTGCTTCCACGCCAGTTTCCTCTTTCACTTCCCTTACAGCTGCCTTCGCAATGTCTTCTCCTACAACATAATAGTATTGCATTTCAATTTGTTTATTTATTTATTTTTCTTTATTGACCACATTACAAAAAAATGTCTGGTACAAAATGCGGACTTAATACTATATAGCATTCTCTCCCAGACAACCTTTGGCTAAAAAGAAATTTATTGTGCAGTTATTATATTTAAGTATCACAACACATACAATGGAGAACTACTTTATTTATTTATTCATTAGTACAAATATGTGTACAGGGCGGACTTAATGCTAAAAACATTCTCTCCCAGTCAACCATAGGGAAGTGTCAGAATACTCGAATGTGGTACTACTAATTATTGATATACATACATACTAAAATTACATATATAAACGAATAAATATATATGAATAACAAATATACTTACACATATATGATATATACTATATTATACACGAATTTGGGAATAATATAAAGTACTACTTCACATTATGATTAAATAAATATACATACATGAATACATTAAACAAATATTACATAAATATACATACATACTTATAGGATTCTATACAATAACACAAATAAACAATGATAGAGATCAAAAGTGAAATTGATGATGAAGATGATGAACTGCTTTCATAGATTTTTCAAAAGATATTCGTATTTGTTCACATATCATGACTATAACCAACGCACATGTCACATAGTTACTAAAATTTTTACACTTGTGCAAATTTTAAAAAATATTACATATATTTTGTATTATAAGTGAATTAATTTTATAAACAACTTCATATAATTTTATCCATAACTGAGAATATTTCTATTAACATTTCGGTGATAAAAAATCAAATTAGTCTATGTTACGGCGGTATTACAGTGGCGCATGTTAAAGAATCAATATCGGCAGTTTCACCTGTGCATAATTTTTTAGTACTTTGCAAAAGTTAAACTAATAAAAAATGATAACAATTTTCATATAAAATAAAATTATATATTACCACATGAAATACAGTGCAAATACATTAATAAACCCACAAACAATAACACATTCAAAAACGCTTTTTTCACAGGTGGTAATATAAGGAATATTTGGATAATATTCTTATGGTGATAGTAATATTTATTGATAATAACAAAATTAAACTGTAATCTTAAGCGAAGAATTAATTATTTATCACTCTAATTAGTTAATAAACAAACATCAAAACTGACTAAATTAATACTTGTTATCTAACATGTTAACATGTACTATTCCCTTATTCATATAAGCTGCATGTATCACAATCTTGTAAAAATCTGGGACAAACCAAAGGCCAAGTGATATCTATTATATCAATATAAATATATATTACCAAATATTTTTAAACCAAAGTTCAATTCATGTTGTACTCTATTAAAGTTACAATTATTAATGTATAAACAGGTTCATACCTCTTTCAACATAGCCACCCGGGAGCTTCCAATGTGGATATTCATAATGTTTCTCTGATATAGCAAGAATCTGGCCATTATCATTGAAAACCATTGCACCCACACCTAAGTTAGTATGTGCTGCTGGTGGCAGATTTGGTTTAGAGTCAGCTGGCAGCCATTTGTACATCATTACAAAATCATCTCTGGCATGATGAAAAGTAAAGCCTTTCTAAGAATGTGAAGCCTTCATTTAAAATAAATTATCACAAATTAATTTTATGTTGTATGTTAATAATCTAAATAAATTATACATAATAATTAAAATATTTTTTTAATTGTGATTGTTAAAGAAATATGTAAAAATCGCTAAATAACTGTCAAATAATATAACATGTTAATAATTTTATTATTAAAAATATTTTCTATTAATAAATTAATTTTTCTTTTACTTACATTTGCTAATATAGGTACTTGGTAAGAATCATCAATGTTAACCTTAAACCATACACATCTTATTTTTTCTGTTTTCCATTTTGTTAATGATTCTGTAGGAAAGAAATATCATGATATTATAATGTAACAAAGCAAACTAATCCTCACTAACATTTTAAATGTTAAAGTGAATATTATAAATGTTTATAATATGACTTTAGTCAATTCATAAAATTCATACTTAATTTATAATATTAAGTATGAATTTTATGCATAGCATAGTATGGATCTTTGTAACATTTGTGAAGAGTCTCACAATCCCAGTCTTTTCTCTTTATAAAAATTTGGATTCTTTTAGGAGGACATTTAAGTACTCACCATGCAGCTTTTCAGCAAAGTTCTGTTGATGACATTTCTCCTTGTGAGAATCAACAGTAATTCCTTTAAATCTATCTATTTCACCAATAAAAATCCTTTGCACAATATGATTAGAGTATTTACAAATCCTGAAATTTAAAAAATAACAGTGTTTAAATCATTATAGCTTTCTATATCAAAACATTAGTGGAACATTTTCCACTAAAGAAATTGCACTTTGAATAGTATAATTGTTACATGATGAAAGGTTGTTTAAATATGGAATTGGAATAGAAAAAATGCAAAACAGTTAGGTCGTTATTTTAATTTAAAACTATTCCTTTTGGCGATAGTAGTCTGTTTCTAATGTACATATTTGTGCAGCATAAGAAAAATACAGGTAATAAAATAAAGGCAAGATATACATATTATAATTAAAAATTTTAATGCATCGTTACCTGGGTATGGAGGCTCTATGTTTATTCAGGAAATTAAAAATATTAATCATTTTGAGATTACAATTTATATAAATAGATTAGGGAATAGGTATAATATAAAATTAAAATAAACAAAAATAAAAATATTTTCAATATAGATACGTTCGATAATCATCGATGTTCAATGATCATCTAACGACAAGGAATTACATAGAAGGAATGATAAAATAAAATCTGTAATCATATGATTGCCTCCTTCCTTCTTATGGAAATATTATTAGTAAAAAGAACAAAAGATACACCATCGGTTGCTATTTTTCTCAATTCATAACATGCTAATGTGTAGAAATGTTCGATATGTCAATTATTTGTCAATGACAAATTTTAAATTACTAGATTATATATTCGACACAGTTTATGTAAAAAGTATGCAAGTAAGTTGTACCACTAGCCTGCTATGAATTGACAAAAAAAGTAACTGATGGTGTATCTTTCGTATTCTTTTTATTAATTATTTTTGCATAAAAAGAAAGGAGGCAATCATATGATTTAGTTTTTGATTTATTATTCTTTCTTTGCAATTCTTTATTTTTAGATGATCATCAATGTTGAAAGGAAAAACTACGATATTTTAATATCGATGTTGCTATACGAAAAATATCGTAAATTGATGTTAACGTTAACGATAATCAATTATAACATTTTATATCAATGTTACTCACAGTCTCACGAACGATCAATGCAACATACGAAACAAATTATGTATTTTATTGTTTGTTGGTTATATTTTATATTGTGTGGTTGTACGTGCGTCGGACTATTTGAGTACTATCGCGACATCAACGCCATCCGAAAGAATCTTTTCAAAAACTGGCTCTACTCTTTATCAAAGAAATAAAAGATTCTTTTTTATCAAAATTACATTTCATTCAATCAGTTGTAAAAAATATTGGATTATACAATAATTTATTCTGTTTCTTAATTAATTTTGAACGATTTTACTGTATTTTATTGTGTTGTTAATCTGTGCTAAAATAATACCCAAAATCGATTTCGGTTTGTGATGAATATCAAACATCGATGTCGAAATCAATGTTTTTCAAATATTGATTCCTATTTGAATCTTTTCAGTTTCTTTTGTGCCGTCATGTGTCATTAATGTCAATTTGACATCTGTCATGTGACAACAGCTACAAAACCACTCCTACCTAAATTCGAAATAAAATACTTATCTATCATATATATTTGCCATACTACCTAAATACAAACTGAATTTAAATATCTATAATATGCAGAATAATACTTACCTAATAATGTAATATAGTTTCTCTAATTTTTTAATGTAATGCTGGAGTAAATGTAATAAATTGCAGGTATAGTATACACAAATTATCTTTTTAGGACACCTAATTTATTACCATAATTTTTAATTCATCTCTCTCATTTTTATTAATCTTGTTTTTGTATCTGAATAAAAAAATGTTATGTTAGAAAAGATAATGATTCTTTTTTTTATTTTAGATGCCTACTTATTTCAACTTATACTTCTTATAGTTAAAGTCACCTACAATGAGTGATAAAACGTTCAATGGTGAAGTCGACAGATACAATGGTATTACAGTAGACTCTCAGAGTGAAAAATGTGAAAAGCATGAGCTTACTAAGCGACTTTGCGGTAGGTAACATCATGCCCAGCTGAACATATACATTTTTTATACTTATACTACCAAAAGATTTTGCTTTAACATGACCTAAAACAATTTTTCTATAAAAAAAATAAAAATCATAGATATATTTAGGTACACCAGCTTTAAATTTAGATTTCAATATATTTACCTATATGATTATTAATAAATTGTATTTATGTAAAAGTTATAATTTCCAATTACAGCCTCACTTAAGAAATGGTCTGAGGAAAAAAGAAGATGCATTTGGTTTAAAGTTCACATCAAAGATGCAGAATGGGTCCCTCTTCTAGCAAAGGTATAAAAATATCTTTACATAATCAATAATTTTCTATTCACAGTAAAAAAAATGTAAGGTACAAAGTTCACTCTAATGGGAAAATGTCTGCTTAAGAAATTTACATTTGAACATAAATAATTAGATGCCTAAATGTATAAAAAAAATAGTGAATTATGTATTAAATTTATAAAAATACACTTATTTGATTGGTTAAATCATTATGAGCCTAAGAGGTAAATATACATATATTTTAGTTAGCCCTCATAGCTTTTCTCTCATTGTACTCACAATCATAATGTAAATGTTTGTCATTGCGTATTAACATATTGCATTATATACTTACTAAAGTGTATCTCTCTGCCTATTCAATACTATAAAGATAAATATGAAAGTTATTACATTACAGGAGGGTTTCGACTTTCACCACTCTAGGAACAGTTTTGTTATGATGTATAAGTGGTTACCCACTGATAGTAAGTCAAATCTCCCTCCAGCCTGTCACACAAACTTAGGAGTTGGTGGTATGGTATTCAATAATAAAAATCAAATATTGGCTGTTATGGAAAATCATATTGATTTCCCTCATTGGAAACTTCCTGGCGGATATGTTGAAAGAGGTAATATAATTGGTTAAATAACTTTTAATAAAAAAAAAAAAAACTTAGTAATGTTAGAAGTTTCTAAAACATAAATCATCAATTAGGTATACCTTTCAATCTTAGAAATTTTGTTATGCTGTAATGCTGTCTCCATTGTTATTTATAATTGAAATAATTGATTAAATTGATACCCATTTTTATTTAAGAATAAACACCCCATATCACAAACTCATATAGTCATCTATGCAGTTCATTAGTTACAGTTTTTTTTTTTGCAAACACAGCTTGTTGCTGAAACACTGTTGATTGTCTTATCATGTATATGAACAAAAACATTCATGAAATTTATGTTTAGTTTTGTATCATAAAATACATTACATGAAACTTTTATTTCAAACTTTATCAGAAAATAACTTTAATATAAATTGTAATATTAAATTACAGGAGAGGATATAAAGGATGCTGCCATAAGAGAAGTAAAAGAGGAAACTGGCATTGACACTGTCTTTGAATCATTAGTGACCTTCAGGCACACTCACAACATGATGTTTGAAAATTCTGATATATATGCAGTAGTTTGTCTGAAAGCAACTTCAGAAATAATTACAAAATCTGATATTGAAATTAAAGAGTGTAAATGGATGGATCTAGAAGAGTTTCTGAATCATCCACATGTACATGAATTTAACCGTTTCTTAGTAAGACAAGCCATGGATTTTAAACAAAGAAAACTTAAATTGAACTTGCATAAAAATACAATAAAAGTACATACATGGTCAAGAGAAATGACTTCTCTTGTTTTGGAAGATTTATGATAAACAACATCTTAGTCCTCAGGAATGGCAACCTGTGATGGATATTATGGGTGACAGTCTACTCTATTATGCCCATGTTCATATCTGTAGGCAATGGTCACCACTTTCCATCTGGTGGACCATCAGCTTGTTTGCCAATCTAAGTTACATAAAAAACATTGATCATTATCATAATTTTATCTCTTTTGAGGTCTAAGTTATATACACACACATATAAATGTATAATTTTACATTTATACATTACAGTAAGTATTGAGTTTCTTGCAAATTCTTCAGCAAATAACAACATACCAAACCCAGTAGTAGAATCATAAAAAAATATTTAAAAGGCCTTTTAAAAGTCTTACTATACTGGAAAGCATAGTATTTCAAAAGGTTAAAACATTTTGTAGACTCTTACAGTTATAATGCAAGACATTGTAAACAAAAGTGTACCTGTGCATTAAGATGGAAAACAAAGATTTTTATGATAGTATATGTAACATGATTGTCATAGATATTTGCATCAAATATAATACTAGTACAGAAGATACTTTGTTTTTGTAAGGAAATATATAAAGGTATTTTTAGTGAGAATCAATGGTATCAATTTTATATGTATACCTACCTCTACAATTACCAAAATTGCTAATTATTGAATCAAGTTATGCTTAAGTGCCTTTATTACACATTTTGCCATAGGTACCAAGAGTATTAAAAAAAATAAATTGGGGCTGCCTATATTTATATTATCATAATAAATATGATGCTAGATAAAAGCCGTGACTTGATCTGATTCTTTTATGCCTTAAATTATGTTTATAAACTTACAGTCTAAGAACACCACCTACACGAAGTTCTTAAGGTAATTGTTGTTATTAGATAAATTTTATAGCTGAAGCTGGTTTGAATTATTCCAATAAAATCCAACAGCCGTAAAAACAATTGAGAATTGGATTCGTTTTAAATATTTATAAGATGACAATCATACTGACAGCAGTCTCTTCAGGCAGCAGATGTTAAAGACGCCAAAAAAGGCAAATGCGGAAAACAATTTCCAACTCATAATAAAATTTTTATGGTGCCTTTTAAGAGGCACGGTAGTAGTTTTGACATTTGCAATAATAGTAGATGTTTGAGAATTTAGGGATTATTATTTATTTGACATAAAACCGAAATAAAATTACATGAAGTGATAGCGTCGACCAAAGGGCGCAGGAAGGTAATATCGTATTATCCTGATTAAGGGGATAGAACCGGCGCTGATGGTAACAAAAATATGTAACTAAATGTATATGTTCATGATATCTTTGCCAATTATTAACCGATTTCGATAAATATGTTTACATTTAATAACGCTTACTACTTGATGATGCTATATTTTATCACGATTGAAATCGCTGTTTATTTTATAGTGCAATATCTTAAATTATTTTGTACCTAAATTATTTTATTGTTACAATTTTTTATTATGATTTAATATTGTGATTATAGTTTAATAGCTGATTATAAAAATGAATTCATTGTTTAACCTTGTTTGACATTCCTAGTAATAAAGGGTCTATTGTTTTTAATACGTATATTTTATTTAATATACTTTTACCAAAATAACAGTTGTACGTTTATTTTAGAGAAAAATGCTTGTAGTAAATTATCTACATACCTATATCTAACTTTTTGCTAATTATTGAAATGAACATCAGTTTTCACGGGACACAAACCAGCTCTTTCCTAATGTTTTAATAATTTTATGTAATTTCTATTTTATGAACCATCATAAAATAAAATTATAATCATTTCGACTTAAATATATTAGAAAATCTGTTCATATTGGTCCTTAAAATAGTTTTCGCCGTGATATTAAATTGAAATTTTAAGTTTAGAATTTATCTAAAATTAAAATTTCAATTTGAAGCCACAAAAACCAATCCTCTAATGCTCACATTGACCAATAATAATCGGTCAATATGAGCATTAGCTTATTTATTTTCCAGAGACTAGCCCTTTAAAAAGATGTGGGCTTTCAGAAATATCTTTGCAAAGCTTCGCTCGCTCATATTCGGACGGGTACCAGACAATTATGAAGTGAGAAACGCTAACTCGAGGATGGCCTTTTATATATGTCTAATAGGTGATGATTCCCACATATAAATGAAGAATAGATAGAAAATTCTTTGAATTTTAAATTACGCCAAATCTTGCCAATATAAAGAAATATAATAAATCACTTGCTCCATAACATATAATACAAAAACATTTTATTACTATGAACTTATTCCATGTTACTGATAAAATTTGTCCAGTAAGTACATATGAGTATATATATAGCTATTGAACAAAATTATTTTATTACCGAGAATGTACTAGGCAGTTCACAGAAATTGCTACGAATAATTTACATCACATACACACAGAGGATATTATACTAACTCGAACACAGCTGAAAATTTATACAAATGAGATTACAGATAGGTTTCATTCCTTTTGGCAAAGTCAACATTTCGTCGTAAATTTGAATTTTGTAGAAAAAAAAAAAACTTGCTGCATTGCTTCAACCCCTGACTGACCTTGGTAAATGCAACTAATTTGCGTATTTTTTGTAATTATAAATCAAATTCGTATGGTGCCATGCCAATTAACCCTCGATTTATTTTTTACCAATTTTATTACAAGTTTTGTATGCAATTATACAAGAATTTTCAACAGTGTAAGCAAAAAATATATTGTGATAAAAGCATTACATTTCAGAGTCTCTTCAATTATCCTCCTTGATACTTCAACCTAAATTGAGTTTAAATATTGGTTAAGTAAGTAAATATACATCTTATATGTTTTGCCAATTATTAGTGTTATTATAATTTTGGCGTGGATCTAGTGGCAGAACTGTAAGCCAATAAGCAGTTAGCCAGTTACAACTGCAAGTGGTCAAGCACTGCAATCAGCATTCTGGTGTAAACTACAAATTGTGTCCATATACTAACTTTAGAATGATAACTAATATTACCACCAAAACACTGAACAAGGCGACGTAAATTTACCAATTTATTCCATGGTTTTACGAAATAACGTTGTCATATTGCATATATGCTATCTAATTAATTCTTATATTATTAAACTTTAATTACAGTGACATTTACCAAATAGAATCGTAACACCAGAACTTCATTTACATAATAAAAATATTGTTATACCTACTTTAAGTGCCTATTGCTAGACTTTGAGTATATAGTGAAGCTTAGAATTTACTGTCTGCTGCGTAATCTTTTTGTTAGTTATAGGTATATAAGAAAGATAATAGGAACTAGTTGATTTGAAAAACTTATTTAATAACGGTTTCTCGTAATATTAAGTGGCTGCCCACATTCTTTCAGTTCACCCTTTGACTTAACTAGTTAAACTAGTTGATGTAAAAAAAGTCGAATTAAAAAGAAAGTAATTCTTTTTGTATTATAGCATAGTGAAAGTTGGCTTTTACTATAAAATGAGTAAGACTTTTATAGAATTAAGTAAGTGTAATTGACAATTTCTCACAATCAAAGGTTTGTTGAAGCAAAATTATTAAATCATATATTAATTCAGTAATGCACTCCACAGTAATAAACTTCTATGTTTATCTACTATTAATCCCTCATCATATATACACTGTACATAACATATGGTATGTTGTCCTTATTTTAACAATTTCAACCCAAGCAAAACAGGGATATCTTCACAAATCAATAGTTAAAAAAAACTCCTGCCAACAATACATTACTGTATTAAAACCACCAACCTCAATTGGTGGCAGTTATTTAAATTAAAGAAGAAAAAGAAGCTGTTTTAGTATTTTTTGTTTTTAGATTTAATTACCTGTCACCTACACCTTACTATATGTTATAGCAGAATATTAGAAATATAAAACGATTTAACACATTGATATAAATTTTATAAAGAATTAAATATTAAAATCTAAACATATAATCATTGTTACATTTACAGACAAATGTTTTCCTAAACCACTATCTAAGCATTATAAGTAATGAATGGCAAAAAAGTGTTTAAGTATACAAGTTTTCAAATGTTGGTAAATATAAAGCCCTTATTTAATTTGTAATGTGGCACATTTACCGTTTTATGTATATGTACATTTAATGTTTACTTATGTGAGTGTGCATGAGTTTTGTTTGTTTAATGGTTTGTTTTTAGGCATCTTTACTCACTATATACTCAAGAGTTATATAAAATAATATCAGAATAATTAACTGTAATTTTATGTAACAATACTCAGGATTAATGAATAAATTATTAAATTATTTTGATGAATATAAAAAAAAATAGTTATTATGACTAAAATTGAACTTTAGATTGATTATTTCAGCTTGGGCTGATATGTAGATGGAAACGGATACAGTTCTATATAATACATTTCAATCTAAATCTGGAACTGTGGCATTATGTTCATATTCTCCATCTTCATCAGAACTATCAGCATCACCAATAATAGATTTTAGAAGGCCCCCAAACACAGAGTTTGGATTTCTGGTTTTACGTTGAACTTCTATTCCAAACCAAATACGTCCAATGTTGTCTAAATACACTGAATAGTTAGGGTCTCTTTTTATACTTATTGCATACCAACTTCGAAGTATTTTAAATTGATTTACATGTCTTCTGCAAATAATATATACAAAAAACAGCATTAGCTATACAAATAATATATACAAAAAACAGCATTAGCTATACATTAGCTATATATTATACTTATTTCTATAATATAATCATAAGAGTAGGAATTTTCAATAATTTTTTGGAAAAGTTATAATCATTTTTAAAATTGATGTCTATTTCATAGTGATTGGTTAAGCCAATAAGGTATAAATAAAAATTAAATATTTTATACTTACTGTTCAATTGCTCTCAATAGAAACCAGAGGAAATTTAATAATGGAAATAAATATGGAGGGCCTTTGTCATTTTTTATAGTAGGATGTGATTCAGTATATTTATCAAATGTTTCTGTAGCCATTTGTATATTTCTTAGGCAGAGAAATTGCAAAACAGCTTGAGCTATAAATAAGTCTATTTCTGATTTGAGGCCTTTAGTTGTGTGTAATTCTACTAGCATGTTAGCATATGCTGCTCCATCACTTGAATGCAAGAAGTGTTTATGGGCTGCAGTGTATTTCTTTTCCTTCCAATACACTTCTGCAATTTTCTGAAAATTAAAATTATCCAAATTTAACAAAAATTTAAAAAATGGCCCACCATTCTAATACTGAACACTTTAATTTATTAAAAATAATATCAGAAAAACTCCTTAATAATAATTAAGTGTTATATGAATATAGTAATATATGTGTAATGGAAATATAGTGACAGGTATTTATGCATAATATTCAAAGCTAGGTTTTAAGTTTTTTTATTATAAGCAAGATAACAAAACACTGAATGCCATGATGTATGCTAGGTTGACAAATTGAAACATCATCAAAAAATCTAACTCATAGAGGTTTATATTTGTAGAATAAAGTGCTAATAAAATTTAAAAAAAAATCATTCACTATTATTAGAGACAAATAAGTCAATAATAAATGTTACCTTGTGAAGTAAGGGATGGCCTTTTTTATTTGCATCCATTGACCATTTAACTGCATTAGTCAAAAAAATTTCTCTTTCTGGTATACTTGAGCTCATCATTTCAAAGAGCTTTGCTAACTTTTCGATCCACTCCTCACAAGGTTTGATTTCTGACTTATTTAAGACATCTATAAGCAATATTGCTAAATCTGCGCCACTGCCTTGTTGATCGTGTTGTAAAAGTACAGTTGATCCTTTGTGCAATAATTTTAATAATTCTGCGTATTTTTTCTGACTCAAATATCTGAAAGGTAGTATAATTAGAAACTAAAAGTTACCTTTGCACTGTGAAAACAAATAGGTATTGAAAAGGTATGATTAAAAATTTTCACCTGAAATATAGCGTTCTATACATTTGATGTGCTTCATAATATTGTCCCGAATTGACCGAAGCTTCTAACTTATCTAAAACTCGCACTACACCTCTTTCTCCACGCGTAGCCATAATTTATTTTATAAAGTTTATCTTCGATTTCCTATGCACTTTATATCAATTTACGCCATAACCACATTTTTATGAAAAGTCAAATCATTCAAATGTCAGTCAAACATAAAGATCAAAAAGTCTAATTAGGTCAGATCTCTTCACAGTTAGTGAATTCACCAGAACATGAATAATGCTCCATAAACGATCAACTGTGAATTTGTGTTTACACTTAAATCAAGCAAACAATTATTACCTACCCTGTTATATCATTATCTAATAAACGACAATAATGTATACTGAGACTGTTAGCACTAAAGCTGATTTTCGAGCATTTATAGTTTATAGTAGTTTATATTTACTGAAGTTCTTACTGGTGAACTAAAATGTTCATATCAATCATTTTATTATTAGCTATTTTTGATTTACATACGTATTCTCCATATACTGTGTTATAAATTAGACTTAAAATATTTCACGTCACTAATTTAAATTTCATATGCTATATCAAATCATATGTCACTCCATATACGTCGCTTCACAAAGGTTGCTCTAAATCTTTAAAATCAAACTGTCTATGATTACAAATCACTATAAACGAAATCGCAAATAATTGTTGCATTCGGATTTGTTCCGGACTCATCGGCTTCACTCGATTAACAGTAAAGTGACCTTAAGAACAAGAAATTACATAGAAGGAGAGATTAAATTGTCAATTCATAACATAGCCTGCTATATATATGCTATGAATTTAATGTATAGAAAATGTTATACGGCCGTATAATCCTACCAAATTTAGATACAACCTGTTTGCATACTTTCTACATAAACTGTGTCGAATATATAATATAGTAAAATTTGTTATTGACAAATAATTTGCATATCAAACATTTTTTATACACTAACCTGTTATGAATTGAGAATAGCAACTGATGATGTATCTTTTGTAGTTGTTGGGAGAAAATAAGTTTAACAACTAACTTTGTTTATTTACATATATTATATAAACAAGGTAAACATTAAATACAATGGAATATGTAAAACATAATATATAAAATCGGAAATTAGGAGTGTAAGAGGCGAGCGATCGAGATGGAGAGAATGACAGCAGAAATGAATGTAAGAAGTAAACGTGGCTGTCATGTCTGTACGACCAGTTCGAAAAAAAGAAAGAGGTGAAATATCTATGTACAATTTAATTAACCTACTCTATGGAAAAGAAAGTAATGATGTTGATAAGTGGCTATGAGGGGATGGAAAAAGGGCGGGAAACGTAAAATTTGGCTGTCGAGTTTTTCTGAATTATTTATTTATTTTTATTATAATATCGATCAGATAAGTTACAAATAGCATTGATATTAGTTTAATTTTGTATATATTAGTTTTGTGTAATAGTAGCTGTAAACTAGGTAAGTTTTTGTATATATTTCTTTTTAATATATGGACCCCCCGGATGATCCCGGGGGCACGGTCCCCGAGGTCGCTCTTCATGTAATTATTAGTAATAATGAGGACTCTATGGACACAGATTGCTCTGTTAATATTTCTGATAATTCTGGAACAAAACGAAAACGTAAATCAGTAGCCGGCAATGTTTGTAGGCATTGCAATAAAAAACGTAGGAGGAATCGAGGAGGTGAAAACAATAAGAATAAATTTTCATGTGAATGTTCTCAATTCAACGAGGAAAAGCAGCAACAATCTTCTAACAATAATTTAATAAATAATCAGGAGAATAACTCATCTCGTCCAAATAACTTTATTAGTAGAGTTTATTATGAACCTCATGATTCTGCTCCATTCACCGTTCACATACAAAAAGTTTTATCATCCCCGGATGATAATTCTTCACTTCACCCAATAGCCTTTGGTCGTTTCCTTCAGAGAAATACTTTCAAAAATGTAATTGATGGTAGTCTGAAAAAGATAGGGCGAAATAGATTATCATTAGCTTTCTCTAATTATACAGATGCTAATTCTTTTATAAATAGTGTGGATTTAAAATCTCATAATTATAAAGCCTTTATACCAGCATTCAATTTAACAAGGATGGGAATAATAAGGGGCATCCCAACTGCCTGGTCTGATGAGGAAATTATAGAAAATGTTTCAGTTCCATTAGGTTGTGGCAAAATTTTGAAAGTTAGGCGTTTAAAGAGAAAATCTCTTGTTAATGGTAAATCTGAATTTGTAATGACTGAATCTGTTGTTATAACTTTTGATGGTCAAGTGTTACCTAAGCGAGTTTTCATTTGTTATAATTCATTGCCTGTTGATTTGTACATATACCCTACCATTCAGTGTTATAATTGCTGTAGGTATGGCCATATTAAAAATCAATGTAGATCTGTTCCACGTTGTTACAAGTGTGGTCAGGGCCACTCTGGAGAATCCTGTTCTGTCCAAGAAGAAGATTTTTACTGTTGTTTATGCCAAGGTGCTCACCAGGCAAACAGCAAAAAATGTCCAGAATTTTCAAGGCAAAAGGCAATTAAAGAAACAATGGCTAAAAGTTGCATCTCCTATGCTGAAGCAAGCAAATTGCATGCTCCTTCTATTAAATCATATGCTGACACTCTAAGATCTAATCCAGTCATTGTAAATAGTACAGTAAACTCAAACCAGGATGGAATTCATAATGTAATTTCTCCTCATTCTAATAAATCTTATAAAAAAACCGTCATAGAAAAAATTCGTCGTCCTCCAAAACCCTCCTATGGGTTTGATCGTAGTGAATATATTACTTTAACAAAAGACTACAATCCTCCTGCTCCTGCAGATGGATGTGGTTATAAACAGCAGGATGAATCTAAACAATCTATTTCTGAAATAGTAATAGCTCTTTTAAATTTATTAACACAATTTAATATCATTCCACCGTCCAACGTTGCTTCTCTTTCAAATGCATTCATTAATATTTTAAATAATAAAAGGAACGGACAACCAAGCCAAAGTTCTGCAGTGGAACTGCCGTAGTGCAGTTAGTAAAAAAACAGATTTAATCTATTTAATAAACATGTACAAACCTCTTATATGTGCTCTTCAGGAGACATGGTTAAAACCCGTATCTTCATTTAGGATACCTGGTTATGCCTGTCTCCGTGAGGACAGATCTGATGGGTATGGTGGTGTGGCCATATTGGTCAGACATCCTTCATCCTTCACCCATATTCCAATTTTAAACCATAGTAATAATTTCTCATTAATTGCTGTTCAAGTTGATAATATTTGTTATGTCTCTGTATACATTCCTCATCCATCCTTATTAATATTTAATGAAATTAACAATATTATTTCTACTCTTCCCAAACCATTTTTAGTTTTAGGTGACTTTAATGCTCAACACCAATCCTGGGGTAGCTCTAATAGTAATTGCTATGGCAATGAAATCTTAGATTTGATAGATTCTCTCAACCTATGCATATTAAATACTGGTTGTCCTACCCGTCGCTCAATGCCTAATGAAGGCAACAGTGCTCCTGATTTATCCATATGTACCCCTAATTTAGCTTCTTCTCTCACTTGGCTCACATTATCTCTATCCTTTGGTAGTGATCACTTCCCTATTTTAATTACTTTTCCTTTCAAATTACAACCAACATCAAATTATACTTCAAGTAAGAAGTATAATTTGAATAATGTGGACTGGGACCTGTATTTAAATTATATCAAAAATAAAATTCCTACTCTTCCTGTAATATCTACAGATAATGAAAATGAGTGCTCTGATGCTTTTATAGCATTACTAACAGAATCTGCAGACCAATTTTTCCCTAAGATAGGTAACTCAAGAAAAGGGATCCCATCTCCACCATGGTGGGATAATGATTGTACGGTGGCAGTTAAAAAAAGAAAAGAGGCTGAGAGAGCATACAATCTGAACTCCACATGGGATAATTTTAACAAATACTCTGAGATTCTTAAAAGTACTCGTAAACTCTTAAAAGATAAGAAACTTGCAGGATGGCAAAATTTTTGTTCTTCAATTTCTCCTAATGTTAACCCTTCAAAAGTCTGGAGTAATATTAGAAGGTTTAGAAGTGCTTTTAGAGATTCTAGGTCAAATGTTCTTCTGCCCTCACTTATAGAACCATTTTTAGATAGGCTGGCTCCTCCTTATGTGCCAGAAAAAGGTTTGTTAATTAACTCTTTAGATATTTCCCAGTTAGATAACACAACACTTGGTTCTCCTTTCACTCTAGGTGAATTTAAGGCAGTATTATCTAAGGTTAAAGATTCTGCTCCAGGTGAGGATGGAATTCCATACTCTTTCTTTACCCATCTTGACAATCTTTCCCTCAATTATTATTTAGATTTAATTAATTCTATTATGATATCTGGTAATATCCCTAAATCATGGAAGTCACAACAAATAATCGCAATTCTCAAACCAGACAAACCTCCTTCAGATACTGCATCTTATCGCCCTATAGCCCTTTCTTCAGTTTTAATAAAATTGGCAGAACATTTAACAAAAAACCGATTAGAATGGTTCGTTGAGTATAATGAATTACTATCTAATAGTCAGTATGGTTTTAGAAAAGGGAAGAGTACGCTTGATAGTTTAAGTTTGCTGACAACTGATATCCGCTTAGCTTTCACTGAAAATAATTCAATTGTTGCAGCCTTTCTGGATATCAAAGCCGCTTATGACAATGTCTCCATATCTCTACTGAAAAATAAACTTATTGCTCTAAATATTTCACCCATCTTAATTAATTTCATCATTAATATTTTAACAGAACGGTCAATTAGTATTGATAATATTGATGTCAAACACTCAAGAGTTCTTTGGAAGGGGCTTCCTCAAGGATCAGTGTTAAGTCCCATTTTGTACAATATATATACACATGATTTAGAAAATTCAGTAGTCAATGATTTTAAATTTAAAATTAACATTTTACAATATGCTGATGACCTTCTTTTTTATGCCATTGACAGTTCTGTTCAGAAATGCTGTATAATTCTTACAACAGCATTAGAGCGTTTAAAAATTTGGTTAGATAAAAATAGTTTAGAGTTGTCCGTAACAAAAAGCTCTATAGTTCATTTTTCCAGAATGCGAATGCCCCCTCCAATTACAATTTACTTTAATAATAAATTAATTCCAGTTAAATC